GGGTCTCGCTCTTGCTCAGGCTGGTTTCGAACTCCTGAGCTCAAACAATCTACCCGCCTCGGCCTCCCAGAGAGCTAGGATTACAGGCGTGAGCCACCGCACCCGGCCTAAAAAAATCTAATTTTTAAGGGGTTTTATGTTCATCTGAAATTTCCATACATGTTAATTGTGCCATAGATCTCATTATTTCTTACTTTTTTCACTCAACACTGTGTTTTCAAATGTGTGTGCATCTTTGTACTAACCTCCAGTCTTTGGTTCATAGCTTGCATCTACTATATCTTTTCTAATCCATTCCCTTTGTTGTGGATAATGCCCTCTGGTTCCCACCCACCACAAACCTACTGTAGCACCTGGCACTTGGATCCTTAAAAATTTCTCTGAGTTTTTCAGGATTAAGATTGCTGGATCATAGGAGATACCACAATTAATTTCACTAGGTACAGCCAATTTGCTGTCCAGATGGTGTGGCAGTCTGTATTCCCGTCAGCACTGCCTTTAGGGTTTCTGTTTGCCATATTCTCACCAACATTTTTATACTCTGAAAGTTTTGCCAACCACATGGGTGGGTACATAAATACACACTTTTTTCTACCTTACTTTTTTCACTTAAACACATCCTTTAGATCACTCATAGGAGTATATGGAGATATTCTCCATTCCTTTTTAAAGCTGTAAAGTACTTAGTTATATGAATGTTCATAGATACCAGTCCTCTACTAATGGACACTTGGATTGTTTCCAGTTTTTTGCTGTTGCATTGAATAACTATCTTTTTGCCAGCTTTTCTTTGCAAAGCCTACCTTCTTAACTACTATTCTAACCATTCTATAATGACTCACTACCCCAGACATCTTTCTAGAGCTGCAGATCTAAACTCAGGAGCCTAGTAGATATTCTTATTTAAATGTTCCTTTGATTTTTTTTTTTTTTTTTTTTTTTTTTTTTTTTAAAAAATTTTCCCCCTATGTTGCCCAGGCTGGTCTTGAACTCTTGAGCTCAAGGGATCTTCCTGCCTCAGCCTCCTGAGTAGCTGGGATTACAGGCCAAGGCCACCACACATGACTGAATGTTTCTTTATGACTTCATAAAAGCACGAACAAAATTGAACTTGATGTTTTTCTCTACTTTCCCTTCTTTTTCGTTTCTGTAGATGATGGTTACTTACTCTAAGCAAAGTCATATTTAATTCTTGTCTGCTTTATCCCAAAATGCTTGCTTTACTTTACTCCATCTGTCAAAATCCTACAAAGTGTAAATGCCACTTCCGTGAAATCTCCAACTAGAAATGATCTCTTCCCTCTTCAGAACTTCCAGAGAAAGCACTGTATTTTTTTAAATTTTTTTTTATTTTTACTTTGTCTCTTTAGTACCAGAGCACTTTATACTTTTCTTTTAATATACTGCTTTAAATTACAGTTGTTGATATATATTCATATCTGTCTAGAACATGGGGCCCTTGGCAGAAAGATGCTATGTGTCATTTATATTGCCATCACAACACAGGCACAATACTTTGTGCATGATAGATGCTCTCGTACATAGTGAGTGGATTCTTGCAGTATTCATGTGTAAGCAGTACTTTGTACTTTTCCTACCAGTAAATATGTTGTTAGACATACTTGCATTTGGATTGTTAAGTCGGGCTATTTATGCCAATTAGGTTGTATACCCCCCACCCCCACCCTTTTCACATGTTTATCTTGATGCTTTGCAGACTTTAGGGAAATTTTAGTTTGGTGGCTAAGAGAAAATGAGTGCTTAGCACTAATGGATACAGACAGAAAATTCTTAGAAATTTTGACCTTATAAAGAAGACTTTTCCATATGCTTATTTCATTCTTAAAATTTTCTCCATTTCATTTTTAAAAGCTTATGGAGAAAACACAGATGCCTGGAAAATTTTGCATTATAAAATCTGTTTCAGAGCAGATTGGAATGTACCTGTTTTGTTCCCAAGAACTATTCTGACTTCAGTAATGCCACTCTCCACTGAAGGAGAGTCAGGTTTTGGCAAAATTATGGGAAAGGTCTTCATATGGTATTTAGATTAGACTACCTTGAAAGGTGCAAACTTGTTTTATCAAAATGTTTTTGAGGGTTTTTTGTTTGGAGGAGGAGGGAACAGTGGTGTATAAATGTGTATGCACAAACAAAAAAAGTATACATCTGTTCACATGGAGATGATTCCTTCTTATGGGCTAATGGATAAAGGGAAGAAAAATGCTAGATGATTACAGATTGGGACAAGAATGGGATTTCCTATTTACTACATCACCTGCCCCGGGGCAGCTGTTCCTAAGTAATTAAAGTTGGATGAACTTTCATGCATGACTTTTTCTTAGCCAAATGTTATTAACATATTTCTGTTTAGCCTCCTTAGGGTTTGATTTTTCTCAGCGGTGAAATTTAAGCGGTCAAACTTGTGTTCCAAACTTTTTTCATTCATGTGCCACTTTGACTGCTTTAGCCAAGTCCATGTCTTATCCATAGTGTTGTTCACTGGAGATTTTCTTTAAATTCACTCCTCCTTTTAAAAGGAAACTTTATGTCCCTCTCATAAATGGAGAATGGTACATGATAAATAATATATGGTAGATTTTATCTGTGTATCATTTAAAATTCGTTTCTGCCACCAGTGGTGGCACTAGGAAAAGAGCCTACTCATTGATCTCCACGGTTCTTCTTGGCTTTGACAGTTTATAAAGTTTTTCATCGTTTGCTTATATAATGGCTATTTTTTGTTAGAATTTTTTTTCTTGTTGGCCTACCCCATGAAAAATAAAGGCAGAGTTTGTGACCAGCCTGAGCAACATAGCAAGATCCCATCTCTTAAAAAAAAATTAGCCAGGCATTGTGGCATGTACCTGTAGTCCTAGCTACTGGGGAGGCTGAGGCAGGAGGATTGCTTGAGCCCAGGATTTGGAGGCTGCAGTAAGCTATGATTACACCCCTGCACACCAGCCTGTGTGACAGTGAGACCCTGCTCTAAATAAATAAATAGATAAATAAGTTAATTTTGATTTAACAATCAAAGTTTGAACAGCCATTTTTATAGAAATTTGTCATCATTACCTACCTGTCTTATAGATTAAAATTTTATGCCCTCATTTATATTTTAAAGTTAATATCCATGATAAATATTATTCTCCTATGCTGGGCATTAGTTTAGAGGGTGAACTTCAAAACTGAAAAATTGGCCAGGCGCGGTGGCTCACGCCTGTAACCCTAGCACTCTGGGAGGCTGAGGCGGGCGGATTGTTTGAGCTCAGGAGTTCGAAACCAGCCTGAGCAAGAGCGAGACCCCG